CCCCTTCATTCTGCAGTGATCTCACACAAGCACAGCAGCGGCGGTGGTGAGGGGGTTGTTCGGGTTTTCACACTTAGAAATGGCACCCTGGGTTCCCAATGCACTTGGTGTGGTCATTGCCCAAAGCCCAGGAGGGGAGCCGGCAGTACCGTCGCCCATATGGAACACAGTGAGTGAGGCTCAGACCCGCACCCTGCGCGACCTCCCAGCCACCCTTCCCAGCCAAGTACCGTCTCGGGGCTCGGGGTCGGTGCCACGGAAGCGGCCGGCGGCCCGGGCATCCACCACCTGGAAGCGGCGGGACTCCAGGTTGCCCTTGATGTCCTCATAAGTCTTCACGAAGGTGGGGTCCAGTCGGGCGCTGAACTCGGTGGGCTCAGGGCGGCTCTTGCCGGAGCTGAGAGGGAGATTCAGGCGCAGCCAGTGGCGGAGGCCACCGTCTAGCAGCGACACAGCGCGGTGGCCAAAGGCACGGAACATCCACCAGACCCGTGGCGCCGAGTAGAGGCCCTGGTCACTGGCGTCGTAGACCACGACGTGCGTGGCGGCGCTGACACCCAGGCGGCCCGCGTACTCCGCGAAATCCTCGGCCCTGGGCAGCATGTGGTCATAGGGCGACGTGCGGTCGCTGCAATGGTCGATGTCAAAGAACGCGGCCCCTGGGATGTGGCGCTCCTCGAACTCACGTCGCGCATCACGGCCTAGCTTGGCCAGGTACCAGGATGCATCTAGCAGCTGCAGGGGCTGCCCAGCCCGTGGGGCCCGCAGCGCCTCCGACACCCACTGCGCCGAAACGAGCGCTCGGAAGAGCTGCGTGGAGGCCATGGCAGTGGTACCGACACCGAGGCTGCAGGCCTGTGGGACAGGGAGGATGTCAGGAGGGAGAGACTGGGCCTGGGGCGAGAACCGCCAGCATTGGAGGCACTGGGCGGTGCCGAAGGCGGAGGCAGAGGCGGAGCCCACCAGGGTAAAATCCAGTGAAGCCTGACTTTGGTCACGCGTCCCCTGCCAAGCCTAGATATATTTGTATATGTATGGCTGCACTTGGTGGCCACCCTCGGGCCCTGAAGGGTCTAGCAGCTCCTCACAGGCTCCGTTGGCCCTTTAAAGTATGTGGGGTCAAAGTCTCAGCCCTTCCCTAAGATGCAGCCAAGTCCCTCCCTGGTGGAGCTCATTACTGGGTAATCAAGCAGTTCCATAAGGTGCCCGCCCTCTAGGAACAGTAGTTGGAATTTACTGCCTTTTCTGTGTGTCATTTAATCCTCCCCATACTTTAGGACAATACTGGGCACAATAGACTAGCAAGTATTTGTTGAACCAGTAGGCTTAAGAGGGTGAGTCTTGTTGCTGGGGAACTGAGGATCACAGAAGTGCTTAAAATGGGCCTGGTGGCATGAGCTCTGCAATAGGTGACCTGTTCTAGTAGTTCAAAGACTCAGCACCATGCCCTGATCTGGTCCTGGAAATTTGGAAAAGCGGGGGGGGG